TCCAGAGTCTCTTCGTACGTGAAGTCTTCAGTGTCCATCACAGCTCCACTTCTCGACTGACCAAGATCCAAGCTTCGCCTTCTCTGTGTGTTACTTAGCCTGAATGGGGAATGGTGTGACAGGCCTCTGTCATACGGGTGCCACCGCGTGTGCGCGGTGGCCAATCGGAGTCTAGCGTACAACCGTTGGTTGGGACGGTCTCGAGTATCGAGACCGTCTCGACACTGCATGCCCACATCAATCAATCAGAGTTATAATTCCTACTAATAGGCACCGCCCCGTTACAAAGACGCCTTCACAAGAGCGATGAGTAAGCTGCGGCCTGTTACTGTCAAGTCCGTCCAGAAGTGCATGGAAGGCATTGCGATCAAGGTCGGGCAACAGCTGGAGAAGGAGCTTGGAGAGCTCTTCGGCCTCATGTTTGATGGCTGGTCGCATGCTGGCATTCACTATGTCGCACTTTTCGCGGTCTACGAGGCAGATGGTAAACTGCACGTGCCGTTGCTAGGCTTGTCCCCGCTTGCCGATGGCACTCAGACGGCAGATGCCCACGTCCAGTTGTTCAAGAGCACCCTCGATGTCTACAACAAGACCTTATCCATGGTGGCGTTCATGGTGGGTGACAACTGTAATACCAACCGGTCGATAGCCACCAAGCTGGGGGTGCCACTGGTTGGGTGTGCTAGCCACAGGTTCAATCTTGCCGTCAACAAGTTTCTAGAACCCCACGAGGCTCTGCTGTCGGATGTAAACTCCCTGATGGTTGAGTTACGTCACGAAAACAACTTGGCGGAACTGAGCAAGTACACGGAGCTGTTGCCGGTGAAGCGCAACGTTACTCGCTGGTCATCAACATTCACCATGGTACAGCGTTACATCCGGATTCGTAGCGACATCAAGAAGGTCGAGGCTGTCGAGGAGCTGATCCCAACAGGCGCAAAGCACCGAAAGCTGCTGGTGCTGTTCGACCATCTCAAGAAATTCGACAGCGTTTGCAAGCGGCTTCAGCGCGACGAGACGGACATGGCTGAGGTGCGTCTCATGTTCGACGCCCTGTTGACAGAGTATCCCGTCATGGCTGAGCATCTGAGACCTACTGCTAAGGTTGTTCACACTCCTACGTTCGAGTCAGGTGTCGTCAAGGTGATCACGGGAGCCATTCTATCGCCAGCCGAAGAACTAGCGCTGAAGCGCTTCGAGGTCGTCCAAGCTGCAGGAAAGAAGCGCAAGAAGGACGAGGAAGACTACGCCTCGGTACTGCTGCGAACGGGGGGCAAGCCTCGAAACCAGGTCAGCGGTGGTCGCAGCGGAAGATCGGCGGCATATAAGCCTCTTGCAAAGTTGGTGCCGCCAACTTCCAACACGGTGGAGCGCCTCTTTTCACAGTGTAAGTTGGTGCTGACGCCACAACGCCGTGGCATGCATGCCGCTAGGTTTGAGCAATTAGCGTTTCTACGGGTCAACCGAGGCATGTGGAACGTCAGTACTGTTGCTAGCGTCGACACCGAGCAAAACGAGTAGGTAGGTATCGTAAGTCACTTTCCTCAGCAAATA